AAAAAAATTAATGAAGATAAACGAGTTTTATTTATTTTTACCTCTTACTTACGAATAGTCATACTTAGGGAAGGGCGCCATGGAAAAATTTCAATTGAAAAAGGGCACCGCGACTATGAAAAGTTTGGGAACCACTGGTTTATAACTATTAATGGTCTCTAGTATCTTGCATTTTCTTGTATTTTCACGAAGTACAGCCTGTCTTTCTTTCGATTTCCAGTCAATTTATGTACCATACGTGCAATGTTTCGTCAGTTCGGAGCTTGCACTGTCAAAGTTTATATGGAATATTCGATATTATCCCCAAGAAAACCCGTTTTATCGTAACTTTTTATCCCATAACTCCATGTCCATTAGCCTTAAGTTTCTGATGATCAAACTCCTCATTATCCCAATCTTCAGTCTGTGGTTGTAATGAGATTGAAAAGTGAGGATTATTCCCGCATGTGATTTTTTTCTGAATAATCCTGTTGGAGCAAATTCCGTCAACGTTTAGGAAGGGTAGTCGCTCATATTCCTCAACCTCCAATGTGAATCTAATCCATTCATCAGGTTGATTCATAAAATTGAGGAGTCCATCTAAATTTTTCGTACATTACGACCAAAGTGCAAAGTAGTCATCTAGCCATCGCATGGCCGCTTCTAGATGAAGCAGTGACTTCTCGAATTCCTTTTCCAATTTGCCCATACATACATTTACCAAAAGAGATGAAAGTAAAGAGGATTGCGGACTTAATGAGCATATTTGTATCAAAATTCCCAGCATAGTGGTGTGGAGGTTGGGGGAATTAGCGAGGAATGCGAATAAGCTTTACTAAATCCACTCAAAAATTAAAAAACAATAATAAAACGAAAATGGGTCGGAAACTTACTAAATGTCATACCATCCTGGTCTTCGTACCCTTGTGTTAAACAAATTTAGTTGGGAATTATACTATGGCAAGGCATGAAGAGAAAGATCAGGTAAATAAAATTAATGTATAGGAAGCTGAGTTTTGGAGAATCCCTTCTAAGATTAATATTGGCCCACCTAACAGTTTGTTTGCAAATGCGGGTTCGAGGGATTCGTAAATTGGCCTCACTGAAAACCGTAGGATTGTCTTGAAATTGTGACTATTATAGTATGAAGAAGGCTTCATCTTACCTACCAGTAACCTTGAATAATCCGTACTTTAGTCTGTCATGTGCAAAACAGCGTCGGATACAAAAACCATACAGCAAGAAAAAATCGTCAAGATATTGAAGCAAGAAAGGTGGCATGCCAAAATCCAACTTTTTATACCTAAATTACCGATCACAAAAGCTATCACAATTCAACGTAATATTAGCAGAGTATTTAAAAGTTGAGAAAATGATAAATCTAAATATAGTTCATGTTTAAAATATTTTGGATGAACACATCGTAGTTTTTAAGTGCCACACACCTCGTGATTTAGAAATTGAGACGATTGGAATGGACGATGTTCCAGAAGTTGAGTTCTTCGGAAGGGACTTCGGAGGAACCGGCGCCGATAATGAGGGTTGGCGAGACACCAAAAGTCCTGGAGCTGCATTTTTTTCAGTTGAAAGAGTGATCGAAGGCTGCACAGGCCCAATGCACGTAGTGTTGACAGAAGAAATGGAAGTAAAAGTAGCGGGTGGAGGGAAGGCAGTAGATGTTGATGGCTTCGTAGTTAAAACTCGACGCCGATCAAATAAATTAGATGATGTAGACGCGATAATTGTAGGGATATTTGACGAAGAACCTGAAGATGAGGGCGTCGGGTTATGAACAGAATCAATATAATTGAGTCGACGTTGTTCTTTGCGAAGAGTGACCTCAGCCCTGCGGCGCTGAAGCTCAGCCTCCATCTCTTCGTAGTGCAGGGCATACATTGCATCATCATCCAAGTTACGGGTAAGCTGAACTGCTTGAAATGATTGAGGCTAAGAATAGAAAGTGAAAAGGCTTAGAAACTATCTCTGGTGTATAATTACCTCTTATGTATATGGTTTAATGCCTACCAAAGGCACAGATCACTGATCAACAACCAACAAAAGATAACTTTATACAATAAATAAATGGCGAAAATGGTTCCAAATCTAGGCATAAATAAATGTTTAACTGCTTCGTAGCCATAATGTGATTCATAAGGTATGAATTGATCAAGCAGCAGTATTTCGATGGCTAGCGAACTAAAAACAGTTTTTCTAATCTCGAAAACCTACTCATTAACGAAAAATACGTTTAGATATCGTTAGAAAAGCATGATTTAAAGCAGGTTTACATCAAATGAACATGCCAGCAGCAAAGAGCAATATACAAAAATAGCTCTCTTTGAAATAAAGATATGAATTAATCTATTTTAGGAGAATCATTGCCTTAAAAACTCTAATAATTAATGTGCGTAAATATCACTAATAATAAAATATTTTAGTAGTTTGACTAAACTCAGTATTCCGATCTTCAGTTCATAGTTATGATGAGACTAGAAATTGAGGATTATTCCCACAAGTGATTTCTTTCTGAATAGCTTTCTCTTGAAGTGGGTTGACCTCGTTTTGCAACTTGGCCGGGTTGTCAGGGTGACTTAGTTGGACGAACCTTGTCCGAAGTCCTCGGCTATATTAGTTAGCATAATTCCAGTGGACAAGGTTATATATATATATATATACATCAATATTTCTATAGATGAGTAGTAAGTATATTTCGATAAGCAAATTACTCCTTTCCATGAACTATCCAACAATTATAGTGAGGGTTACTGCTAATGCTACTTATTAGTAAGCTTTTAGGCTACGGCAAAACAATCGAATGGTAATTTGCCCAATACTATATACATTAAGATATTGAATGTTTATACGTATTTGAAACTCATAAAAATAAAAATGTGGCCAAAAAGTAATGCTTACCTGTGCAAGTCGAGTAGGAGTAAGTCTGTAAAGCAAAATAAATGGGTTCATGTACATGTAATATACAATATGCTATACACGTTCATACAATTCTAATATAATAAATAGAGATTAGGATATGAAAGTGATGCCAATGAATGTAGATACACTTAAGTTCTTTCCAAGATTTCATGTCATACAAAAACTAAGCAATGATGAAATTCAGTGCTGTCAAAACGTGACATCAACTCAAGATTGAAGAAAATAAATTCAACCAACATTATGCTTTAATAATGATTTAGCAGGAAGGATTAAGGCCAAGGCTATAGTTCTTGGCAGACGATTGCCTTATAACGAAGGCATATATTTAATTTTAAATTAATAATCCAAGTAGGATTTATGGCATGAGTAGAGACGAACTCAATTAATTAAAATAAAATATTCCAATATGATTCCAATTGAGGGCTACTAAGAACAAATCAACAATACCTCTGATTCAAAAAAATTCTCCTTATTTGCGATGAGGCTAATTGGCGAATTCCTTTCACCAACGTTTTTATAAGAAATGAAAGGCTCAATGAAAGGGGCAATTACAAACAAAGAATGTGACCTACAATATTGACATCCTTGCAAATTTGCTATTTTAACATTGATGAAGGCCCAGCAATTAAAAATGTCTCTATTAAAACATAAGTGTACGCGATCATGCTTTTCATGTTTGTTTGAAGGACCTCAAGAATGAATATAGTCGGCTTTCTATAAAAGCCAAATGGCATCCTCCAAATTCTCTCAGCTAGGTATAACTGGCAAGCCATCGGAGAACAAGTATGCAATAAAAGACGAGATTTTCACTCCAGTCCAAAAGAGATGGCAGTAGCTAACTATAAACCGGTTAGCTAGGCGTAAGAATGCAAGGAACTATACAGCATTAGGCAATGGAACTAATACCCAGCCAGCGAAAACTAAAGCCACCTAATTTTTAGGATACTTCCCTATGTAGCTGAGATAAGAAGATACAAATAGGCACCTTAATATCTGAATAATTGCGTCATTAATCCAGAGCTGCAGAAAATAAGGTCTACGCTAAACTTCCCTTTGGCAAATGTGCCGTTTCAGAGAACTGCAAAAGAAGCTGGCGTTGAAATCCGATATACCGATAGATAATATATATAGGATTAAAAAGGGGTGAAAGATTGTATATGAATCAGTTGTATATGGCTAGGCGGTTGCAACAGATGCCGTTTTCATGTGGCAGTGGTGAAAGGAGATGAGCAGGACCCAGGCAACTGTATAGCCACACGGTAGAGGCGCCATCAAAGAAAGCTGCCAAGATACATAAAATTGAAAATTCGAAGTTGATTTTAAGTCGATCTTTCGGAAAAATCCTTTTGATGCTATGGAACAAGAGTTCTTCAGAAGCGGTCGTTAGAACACTTTGCTTTTAACTCTGGGTGATCGCAGTCCTCCTTAAGCACAAGCCCAACCGACTTTGCCATGACGCAGAAAGGAAGAGTGGAGAACCAGTAAGTATGAGTAGCACATATTAGTTGGCGAGCGGAGAATAAATTCTGGCCTTGTTAAAGATGCAAAGCTTTAACTAAAGGCTCTTGATTTCCGAAGAGCCGAGCTTAATGGGCTTCTAAGAGTGTTTGAGATAAGAGGCTGAGACAGGCGCATGTAAAGGAATAGAAAAGGCAGAGGCCGC